CGTATCTTCATATCTCAAGTTACAGCTATCAGAATGTAAAAAAGGTCACGTCACCGATCATATTCCTGCACCTATAAGTGTGACAGTAGATTTCCCCGACAACAATTTCGCAGACGGCCCTTTCACCGACAGCTCACTTCCCTGAAATTATTTCCCCGACAGTTGTTTCACCGACATCACTAGCCAACACTAACTATAAAGTGAGCCAACCCTAACCAAAAATCGGGCCACAATTGTCAGCGAGATGAATTGTCGGGAAAATAGGCTGTCGGGGAAATGGTTTCGGGAAAGTGGGCTGTCGGGAAATGGGTTGTCGGTGAAATGGCCGTCGACGAAATGGGTGTCGGGTAAATGGTTGTCGCTTATACCGTGACAGGGAGAATAAGTTCTCGCACGTCGCGTCGACTCTTAGTTGGTGTGGTTGTGCATCTCAGTCTGGGAGCTGATTGCTCCAAGGGTGGGATTAAATCGGCATTTGCATGGAAACGTAATTGTGATCATGTGATTACAAACATTCTGAAAAAATGTAGTTACTATATTTGGAGGGGTGTAGTTTCTTCCGGACTCGTTGGCTTAACTGAGGATAAACGAAGCTACTTATTCTGTCGGTTACTCCTAATTGCTCAATTTTATTATTTTTTGTAACAATTTCTAACCACTTTTTTTAGAATAAAAATAGATATCTTTATACGGTAAATCTCGGTGAAAAAATTTTTTACTCGTTACTGCGTCTATGACATGATCAAACCCCATGAACTATTATTGACATGCCAATGTAATGCAAAAAAATCAATATAATAAAATTACGCTTATTATGCTTCTACAGAAATACTATTTTTTATTCCAAGGCAAAAAATATATAAATTGCAGTATATATATTAAACACTTGTCCAACGATTTATATTATGCTTTGATAATAGGTCGAAAATTTTAAACACATGATTAATGAAAATTTTGAGACTTTGTATCCTTTTATGAATGACGATTTCTGCTTTTTCTACCTCGAGAAGAAAATTCCATTATCGCATCTTTTATGTCTTACAAATCACATGCCAAATTGTATGACTTGTATCAAGTTTTATTAAGTTTTATTAAAACCCGAAATTTTATGTTCATAACGATAACGACAAGTAAATTCTGGATAAGCCGTGCTATTAGTAAAGTACCGTTCAACCACAGTTAATAAAAATCATAAAATAATAAAGACATGTGTGATTTTTGTACTTCCTCAGAGTATGTTGGGTAACGATAATCTTGATCTTAAATTCTAGGGTTCGTTTAATGAGATCACAATAAGATAATGCGATGTATTATATACAGTATTTACATGTTAGCAAAAAGCCGTGGCAACTCTGAAATACAAAAACAAAATTAAATAATGTTTCGTGTTTGTGCAATCGG